ATACAAGTAAATTGACACCGAATGCAAGCAAGCAAATAAGAATTATATTGAAGTTTTATTTTAATAACAAATTCGCCTCTTTGTTGCTGATATTCGCCGTAAGAGTTTGCAAACGGGTGCGGAGCTGTATTTATTGCCGGTAGGTGGCGCCGCCTACTATGAGGAATCAATGTTGCCATATCAAACAAAAATTTAAAATTTAGGGCATACAATTTCTAAAAAAATGTTTTCAAAAATGTTCTGGTATTATGATTATTTTTTGTATATCAATTTTAAATTAAAATCAAGCGTAGCTTTTTACTCCTCTAAATAAACTTTGAAGCGTAATTTTCAGCATATATTTTCTCATATATGCATTATCAAAGCGGGCCTCCTTCGGCAGGTAATAGCAAATATTTAAGTGCGCTCCTGAATGTAAAATTAATTTTAGGTCCGTCCATAAAAACGATGCTGTTGCGAATTGGAGAAAAGCTGGATCGACAAATATATTTTGTACTCGGCTTGTTAACTCTGCAGCTCGTTGGCGCCCAGTTACCATTAGACTGGGTTCACACAGAGAAACTTTTGTTGTCATTTTCGGCAATTTCTCTTTTGGTGTTGTTCTTCGCGTTCACACAGAGCATTTCTTTTGCACACAATTGTTGTTGTCAGCTGTGAACGGCCAACTAGAATTACTCAGACGAACGAGAGCACAAGGCGTGTTGCCCGAGCACGAACTACTCGGTGCCCTTCCTCCTTCCTTGTCACTCCCTCTCCCACAAGTAACGAGTTGCCGACTTAACTCTAGACTTAAGACACCACTTTCAGTCGCATAACTAATTTTTCAACAAAAATTACACCAAAAGCGAAAAATCTGCGCTTGTGGCAACATTGTGCCGAACCGGAAATAAGTTTCGCCTATTCAGGCGTTTCCTGCAGGGTAGCTACTGGGCACACAACATGCATATTTCGTAACGACTAAACAGCAATTAGTGCCGCGCACTAAAATAAAGCTTTCTATGCTTTTTCCTTAACTTGCGAAAAGATAGGAGCTTACGTTAAAAGCTTTTCGTGCTTCGCGATGCTGCTGCGTATGGCCACAGAGCGCACCGAGTTCGCAAACGATTTGCTGCCGTCCTTGTTCTTCAAATGATTTTTAAGGCCAAGTGCAAATGACGAGCCAAACTTCTTCACAACGGCAGGCAGCTGTTCATGAAATAAAAGTAATTGTGTTAGTGTGTGTGGGCGAAAAAGGCAAAAAAGCACCAAAAAGAACGTTGGGAATGTGAACTTTACTTTAATATTGGCATATTCTCTTTTGCGCTGTGTTTCGTGTATACAGAACGCATACGCCGCGTGCACCCCTCGACTCCAGCAACCTTCAATCAGCAGCAGCAGCAGCAAAACCTTCCCCAAACAACAACGCTGCGTTGCGCATACAAACACATCCTCATTGCTTCCAAGTTTTATTGGTGGTTCTATTTTGTAAGCTTTTTTTTTTGTGTGCGCCCGCCTGTGTTCTTGTTCTGGCACACTGTGTTTCTGTGTCGTAGCCGTCGCGTTGTTGTGCTTGTTGTTTGTGTTTGCAACTGCTGCGCCCTATCTTCTGCCTTCTGTATTCTATCTACTGCCTTCTGCTAACTTTTTGTTTTATTCTGTCTTCTATCGTCTATCGCACATTGTCGACTTTCGTGCACGTCTCGTATACCCGCCATGACCATGTACCCGTTTAAATTATCCGTTCGCTTTGCAGCATTTGCGTTCGTCGCCTGTGTTCCCGTTCCGTTCGCATTCGTGTCAGTCGAGATTGAGAGTGCGAATTTGGCCTACAGACCTAATTTTACGTCTGCAGCCAAAACAAACCCAATTAAATACGTTAAATTAGTGCAAAATTAAAGTGAAATATATGAAATCAGCTAAATTAGGTGCTGCGTAATGCGATGTGACAATAAATAAATGCGAAAAATGTACAAAATACGCAATAAAAGCGAACAAATTCGCTGCTGATAGTACATACATATGTGCAAATTGCACAATTGTAGAATTTTTTCCTATACTTCTAAAAAAAGTACACAAATTAAAGCAAAGTGAAGAAATGAAGCAGCAGCAGCAGCAGCAGTGTCTTGTGTATGTATGTATGTACATATGTATGTATGTATGTATGCAGGCTCATATGTATGTACATGTGTAGTATATTTATGCCCATAGTGTGAAGTGATTTGAAGAAGTGCAGGGGAGAAGTGGTGCAGTGTGCTAAAGGAATTATCGCGTTCGCGTTCGGGAGCAGCCGCGAAGTTAACGCAAGTGTACCTACATACATACAATAAAACATAAAGAAATAGTGTAGTTGGTATTGCGAATAATGTGCCTTGTTGTTGTGGTTGTTGTTCTTGTGTCATAGCTATTCGGTGTAGAGTGGGACTATTACCCGTATAGGCGAGTGTACGTTCCTCCCACTGCCCCGTGCACCTTTTTTTACATTCACGTACCTACCGCACCGCTTGCAGCTGTGTATACGCTGATGATGATGTTGAGGTCTTGTAGGTATGGTAGCGGCGGCGACGTCGGACGACGAGACGATAACTAGTTGCGACCGCTGCTACAGCTGCAAGCGATTCGTAAGATATTTTTTCAAATTGGACTGCAATTTGCAATCCCATGCTGGAGCTTTCACAGCGGTGCGGGATTAATGTGCTCGTGTGATTTTTCTGAGTGTGTTAATAAATATACTATGTATCGAAATTGAAGAAGAAAACGCGTAGCCAAAAGAAAATTGAAGCCGCAATTAGACGTTTTGCTTTTGCAGCAGCAACGGAAGTGATATTCATCCGCCGCGGTGTACCAAGTGTGCAATTGTAATTCATAAAAGATCTAATAAAAAAACTATCTAAGCACGGGTTTGCATAATTTTCGTAGACTGCAGCACGCTTTTCAAGTTCAAAGCAATCGTGCATGCACGCGTACATACATATGTATATGTATGTGTAGGAGCGGGCACGGAAAAACCAGCTGTGCTGATTGACGCTCCACTCCAACATAGAGGCATAAATGCATTTGGAGCAGCCCAAAATTCAGCTACGCACCAGTAGAACGGTGGAGTTAATAAGAGTAATACTTTATTGGAAAAGTAGAAAATAGCAACTTCAAAAACGGGAAACGAAACTTGCATTTGCAGTGGGGCGCTAGCATCAAACAGCTTCCATATTTTAATGGCAGCGCATAGACGAGGTCTCAGCATTGCGAAAAAATCACTATAAGGTACAGGAATAGCGAACTGCGTGTGCTGCGTGCGTTCGTATCCGTGACCGTGTAGTGTACATACATATGTACGTATCTCTTGCCCTATTTGCTGCTGCACACCGCACTGATACAGAACAATAAAAAGCACACACAAAAAAGAACAAGAAGAAGCAGCAGCAGCAGAAAAATAAGGGGAAGCAAGTTTTTGCAAAAAACGGAGGGGTTAGTGCGGAAATCTATTATTTGCCATTCACTTTGTTCTGAATACACACACACATACACCAAAGCAGTGAGCTTTTACAAGTTGGCGCACTACATACTGGCGGAAACTGTTGCTTGAATGGAAGACGGTAGTGAAGGCGACGGCGAGACAAATCACGAAGCAAAAGTGGAAAATAACAAGCGTTGGGAGCCCCTACCCCCCCTCATATATGTACAAACAAACATACATACATTACCAAACAGATCGCAAAAGCACACTTAGCTGAAGTGGAACTGAGTAAATGTGATTGTTGGTTGGTGCGTGCATAAGCGAGATAGCAAGCGTAACGTTTACTTTGTGAGGCTGAAAGTGGAAGTAGAATTAGCAATAGCGCAAGCTGTCGACTAGAATCCGCACGTCGCATCGCGTCGCCTCGTTTACGCTGTGTGCGTGTGAACGTGTGTGTTTTGTTGTTGCCGGTAGTCGCCAACAATCTTAAGTGAGAACTGCGCCCCAGTGCCTCCACTTCGGCAGCGGTACCCTTAAAAGTGCTAGTTTCGTCATCCTCCAACATTACTACATCACCTAACCTACCCAGCAGTGAATGGAATGCATTCCGCATCGATGCCTCAGTGATGACAAGTAATGGCATTTGATACCACTCTCGATTCTATTTCTATTGAAGTATGCATTGCATTTAACATTGCGTGACATTGGCGGTAAGGTGTGAGGGCTTCTGCTGCATTACCTTTCATCAACGCAGAAATGTCATGCTTTCTGCATTACCTCTAGCAAGCATTACGCTTAAAGTAATGCAGAATGTTTTAAAGCGTAATGCGGAAATTAAGTACTAGACTACTTTTTGGCAAAAAAAAAATCAGTGAATATTTCTATAGAAATGTCTAGCAAAACATTTTTATCAAAATGTAATGCATATAAAATAAGGGTTCGCTATCAATTGCCTGCCAATCGATGAAAGTATGTACTTCGACAAAAAGAAGCAGTTCAAGCATATTGTAATGCGATTGCATTACTTTGGAGTCGACTCTGGAGTAGAGTCCGAACGATTAATCGGCATCGGCATCGGCATCGGCTGGTATCGGCCAAAAGAATCGGCATCGGCCGTTTCTGGCCGATTCTTTTTACTTTTTCCGAAATTTTAACAAATGTTCATCAAAATTTTAGACTAGTTAATCTAATTTTATAGAATTTTTTGAGTACGCAGTTTTTAAAATTTTAGTACAATGAAAGTGCAAGTTTGAAGTAGTTAGGTAAGTGTTGATATTTGACAATTTTATGTTCACGCATTTTCTTCCAAACAAAGTTTGTTAGATTTTTTTTTGTATGGGGGAAAGCCGCAAACCCTTTCACAAAAAAAAATTCCAAAAATCAATAGTAAGTCCTATTTACTTCAAATTTGCACTTCATTAAAATAAAATTGAATGGGCTGCAAAAATGCATACTCAGAATGTTTAAAGAAAAAGTTTGAAATTTTTACTAACATGGTTTTTGTTAGATAACGATCTACGCTTTCATAAAAAAAGAAGCAACATTAAATAAATGAAAGGAAAATAGCCAAAGAATGCTAAAATGTCGTTACTATAAGTATTGTTACGATTATCCTTAAATTACTCGCCGAATTCCTAAATCTTTCGGTTTATTTTCACTGGATTTTCAAATTGTTTACGTTACAAAAATACTTGTATCATTAAAAATCTACAATTACTGTTTATTAAGAAGTTGTATTCAACACAACAGCTTCATAGTCAGCAGAAGCTTGCTTATTTTTACTACTACATATGAGTACAACTAAGAAGCATAAGAAGAAGAAGTAAGCATTGGCATCGGCCAAAAATTGGGTATCGGTCGGACTTTACTCTGGATTTGGTGACGTTCTCATGCAATCGCATTTTCGCTGCTGGGTACTTACCTACCCAGCAATATACATTATTATACTCGTATAGAATTCGCTCGTATGCTTTAATTTCGCTTTTGCTGCTAAATATTTGTATGTATTTGTCTTCTTCAATCATTTTCTTACTCTTTCGCCTTTTTCGATCTACAATTCTACACTTTTACTTCTTGGCACAGCTTTATCGCATATTTTAGATCGCGCTGCGTCCCGTCCATTTGGCCAGCCAACTAAACATCGGTGTGCCAATTAAAAACAACAAAAATCACAACAACAACAATAGAAAAACAACTGCAGTGCCATCACCATTGTGTTCATCCCTACCACATTGTTGCTGCTGTGGTTGTTGTTCGCTCCTACATACATATACATACATATGTATGCAGAAATTCCAGTTTTGTGCTCCTCAACATAATTCTTATTGACTTCTTTACATACGGTGCGCACAAATGTGATATTCTTGCGAAATTTTCATTGTATCCGTTTCCCACCGCGTTCGCGTCGTTCACACTCGATTTCGTGCAGTACGTCTGACATCTGCTTGCACGTACGCATGCACTTGCATGTTTGTTTGTTTGTTCGGTTCTTCGTTCATTCTTCGCTGTTGCTTGTTGGTTCATCCGTCCGTCGGTTTGTCGTCTCGACGGTGTGTGCGTGTTTGTGAGCGTAGAAAGAGTAGAATAAGAAGAAAAAAATACGAAAACAAGAAAACAACTTGGCGAGCACTTTTGCTTTCGGTCCCAACTGGATTTCGTTAGCCGCTTCTTCTTCTGCTTCCTCCTCAATATCTTCACATTGTTATTACATTTGTGCTTCGCAGTAGCTATTCGCTTTCGATTTGCCATTTTATTATTATGTGTTGCTTCGGCGTGCTAAAATAAGCCAGAATCAATGTGAAAAATAAACGAGAATAGAGTGGTAGAAGCTTCGTCGACGTCGACGGCGAAGCCAGTGCTGACAACAGTAGCAATAATAACTAGTGCTTTCCGAGATACTCGCATTATAAGGTAAGCGCTTTGTTTACTTGACTCGTTTACGAACATATTTTTTTATTTTTTATTACAAAGCCGTTTAACCCTTCCGCTCCATGGGTTTTCGCACTAAGTTCAGCAGTGGAATTTTGACAATCGCGATGCTAAGTTTTCGTGACCAAAATTCTCCAACAGGTCTATTCTGCATGTTACCGACAATTTTGTAAACGAAAAATTTTATTAGGTACCGAACAATGTTACCACTTCTGGTCACTGCGATTCTTGGTCAGTCAAAATATGTATTTAGAAATTTAGCTATGAAGATATGTAAAAATTCTGATATTGCATATTGCACGGGGAAATATTTTGTTACCAGCTTATGAGATGGCAATATATAAAAAATTTAAGTGTGTGTTAAGTTCTTCAAAATATTTTTTTTTTTATTTCTTAGATAAGTTTTGGTTATATATAGTTTTATAGATAATGAAATTTTAGTATGATAAAGTTCAAGTTTCAAGCGGCTAAGAAAGTTAACAAAAAAATTTATTAAAAATGAACTTGCAACTTGTACTTTATTATACTAAAATTTAACGATCTTTAAAACTGCATAATCAAAATTTTTCTAAAAACTCGAAAAAAATTTGGTGAAATTTTTTTTAAAACAATTCAAATTTTCTTGTAAATATTTTTTTCGTCTTGGGGGAACCCTAAAATTGTTTTCGACTAGGTTTAACTCCGTAACATTTATTAATTGGAACAGGGGAATCGATTTTCTTCAACATTGCTACTTTTTCCGCGCTTTGCACTAATAAATTTAGTACAAGGATATGAAAGTTCAAAAGTCGGGCGCGACTATTCTCTTGCTAATTATTAGCTTCCATTAAAAAAAAGGAAACAATTAATCAAATTGGTTGAAAAATGAAGGCTCCAGTGAATTATGAGCATTAAATTCCAGTTTTCAGCCACTGTGCAGCGTTGGCTCCCTTTGAACTTTCATAACTTTGTTTAAAGGCACCACCTTTAACGGGACGAGCAACATCACACCTGATATAGAATTAATGCCTTCAAAACCAAGACGAAAATATTCCCTAAAAGGTATTGCACTAATAAGAATATTGTTAGAATTTTGGCGGTTTTGTTAATTTATATTTTTATAATTTTATCTTAAAGTTTTGGAAAAATATTTAAAAATAAAAATACTAAAATTTGGAATAAAATATTTTTGTTCTTCAGGGACTTCAGGAAAAATACTTTTTAAGAAAAAATGTATTTTTATCAAAATTATAATAAACTTCCCAGTTATAAAAAAAAATATTTTCTTGAAAAAAATTATTCTCGCAAAAATAGAAAAATTACCAAAAACTAAGAAGTCAATATTTTGGTCTAAACAACCTTCACATCACAAAGCCGCTTTAGCCCTTCAGGTCCTTGACCAACAAACGAAAAAAATAACTCCAAACCTCGGAACCCTAATTCATTTAGTTAGAAGCTCATCTTACTCCACGTCCATTAAGCGCCGTACAGACCTTTGCCCAGGATTATGTGACATAAAGCTCACAAAGTTTATCCTTTCTCTCAAGAGGGAGGAGGCTAAGCTAGTGGTTGGTGTTCTAACGGGACATTACCTGCTGGCCTTTGAACTGGCTCTAATCAATGATAAGATCTGTAGGTGATGCATAAAGAAAGAGAAGACAGTGGAGCACATCCTCTGCGATTGACCTGCCCTTAGCAAATAACGGATTAGGCTTTCTGCCTTATCTGGAAGCCGCCGCAAGGAAGGGTACAACGAGCTGTTCCAGTTTCCCAAAAGGACAAACCGAGCAGACTTGAAAGCAAGGTTTGACGTGTCTGAAAGGTGTCAAGTATGCTGGGAGCATAGCTTTTACACCTTTCCGCCGAATCTCTATCTCTCTTCAGATGGTTCAGCGAGACACCTAGTCTTTAAGCCCATAATAAACTCTTCCCCTTCCCTCTTTATCACCAACCGGACTAGGGTAGATACAAGTATGTATGTATTTCGAAAGCGTTTTTATAACTATCCATTATCCATAACTATTATTTTGAGACATACATATATGTATATTAGGGTGATCCAGATAAACTAACCTAACGAATTTATGGCCTTTAAAGGACCTATTTTCTGCGAAGAAAGTTCTCCCTCTCGGAAAATTTTTTATTCGAATTTTGAGAGGTGTCGGTGGGCATTTGAAATTTCCCATGTAAATAACATGAACTTTTTTCACTAAAAATTATATAACTATTGAACCATTTGAGAAAAAAACATATTCTTGTTAGGCATTTAATTCCCGAGTTGATTCGGATCAACGCTGCCGTCTGTTTATGCTTTTAGAGACGAATTTTCTTCTCAGTAAATAGGTCCTTTTAAGGCCATAAATTCGTTAGGTCAGTTTATTTGGATCACCCTAATGTATATGCATACATACGGTGGCGAAAGTGTTAATATAGAAGAGACATTTTGGCAAGTTTTGGTAATTTTTCTTTGTTTAAAATAAGTTTATTATTTTTTATGGAAATGTAGCCTTTTATTTTGTAAGCGGCATAAGTCTCTATCGTAATAAACTAACAAAAAACCCGTCCACCTTTTGTTAATGAAGTTGAACGAATAACCGACAAGTAACCGATCATTTAAGGACAAGAGGAGTGAAGTGACTTATGCCACTTTCAAAAAAAAAAAAATTCAAACTTTGTAGAACATTTATAAAATTTTCCCGAATTTTTTCAAGTGTTCATCAAAATTTAAAATTTTTTGATCAGATTTTTTATAATTTCTTTGGGTATGCAGTTTGTTTACGAATTTTCTTCCGTATAAGTATCTATGTACATAAATATGTTCAACAATTTTTTTGTATGCTGGAAATGACCAACACCTCCCACAAACAAAAAAAATCCAAAAATTAACGGCAAGTCCTACCTACTTCAAACTTGCACTTTTCTATACTAAAATTTAATGGGCTACAAAATTTGGAAAATCCGAATGTTTCTAAGAAATCTAATTAAAAAGCGTAAAATTTTGATGAAACTTTGTGGAATTTTCCTAACAAGTTTAAATAAACGAAATAATGCTAAAATATCTCTTCACTATTTATATTTTCGCCACTGTATATAAAAATGTTATGTGCGTTTATTCCAAGATACATTCTTGTTCTTATTCCAAAATCTCGAGAACGGCTGAACCGATTTGAATAATTATAATTATTAATAATAATAATAATAGAATGGCGCTTACACATACATACATATGTTAGTATTTGGCCGAGGTTCTCCTCCGATTTGTGGCGTTCGCCTTGATGTTGTCATACAATGAGGAGGCACCTACAGTTTTATTCCGATTCCGAATAGCGATTGTATTTTTATGAGAAGCTGTTTTTCATGACAGAAATATGTATACTCGGAGGTTTTCCATTGCCTGCCGAGGGGCTAAGAAAAAGGCTTTTTTCTATATTTTTTTGCGATGTTGCTTTGACCAGGGTTTGAAACCAGGCACCGCACGCACTGCTAACTACTAAACACAATTTATATAATCATTATTGGATTGTTCGCTATAATGTCAAAATCATTTAAAAATAAAAAAGTTGAAGCGTTGCCACCTGTTTAAAAAATTAATCGATTAATTAGATTGATAAAATAAATAAAATATTACAATATGGGTATCAAGCCAAAGGAGTTTAAGAGAGCTTACATTCGAAACTATTTTTGAGGATGGTTGCCATTTGTTTGTACATTTAACTCAATTAAATTTACAAAATAAACGACAGATTCAAAATAAATAGTAATGACTGAAAATATTAAAATTACGTAAATGAAATAAGTACTCGTATTATATAATTGGTACCAAACGAAAAGTGTTTGGGGAAGCTTTACTAGATATTTTTAGGAAGCTTTTCAATTCCACTTAATTGAATAATGAATATACAATTTATTATCAACGAAGAGTTGATTTACAAATTACGCAACGACAAAAAAGCTACTCCTACAAAATAAAATAGTAACAAAAACCGTAAAGAAAACATTAAAAAATATCACATGAAAGCTGTTTAGAACATCATTGACATTCTTATCACCATTCTTTAACATTATCAACAGTTAACTTATAATCATAAATAATTTCATAGCCTATAACGTACGGTATCGGTCATATCTATAGGCAAGGGCGTAGCCAGATAGGGGCGGGAGAAGGGGAGGAGGGGCGTTGGCAACTTTTTCACAAGAAAGTCTGCGTATCAATTGTGTACTGCTAAATATAACAAGGCGGATGTTCATCTTGGCTTTAATGACAATTGCTAAATATTCTACGTTGCTGGAACCTACAGCACACATTTTGCAAATGAGATAATAACTAGATCTCATCGCCGCTGGTCAGCATATTGAAAATATTTTGGAATGATCGCAAGAATGCAGAAAGAGGCACTACGTACGGAGTAAATTAAAAAATCTCGTTTGATTACAGCCCATCTAGGAGTAGAAATTTCTCTACCACGTTTAGCAGGTAAACAATAAAAAAACAGAAGTAACCCCCATCGGTCAAAGCAAATGAGTACTGGCGACGGTCTGTAATAAAATCGTATCTGGATTCGTTAACGGCATCCTTGCAACTGCGCTTTTCCAATGAAAATACTCCAGCTTTTTCGCTGTCTAGATTGCACCCATTGTATTCGATTAAAGCTCTACCCAGAATTGCAGCGGACGACGGTAAACCAGTCGTTGGTTAACCTCTGTATAATTGCGGCGGCAGCGTTTTTACCACGGACGTTTTTCGGTTGATTCAATTTTATTTGTATTTTTACCGCCCAGCGGGGACGGCATAATGTTGAGTGAGTGTTGATTGTAGTAATTTTTATTATTTTAACAAGTTTGCCAATGTTTTCTTCAATTTTTTCTTCCAGAAAATCTACATATCGTCGCCTGAAGGGCAAAAAGACGTAACAAAATCGCCACTGAAATAGAAAAAGTCGTGACTAATATTTTTATTTTTTGTTTTTTATAAAATGATGTGGGGAGTTGTAATTCGATGAAATCCTTCATATAAATCAAAAAGTGAATTTTGAATTATTTATTAGTTATGAGTTTTTGCATTTCAGCGATGGTGTTTGTTACGTCTTTTTGCATTTCAAGTGACGATAAGTACAAGCACGTACCGAAAAAATATTCAATTTCAATGAAATTTTTCCTTACACACGCTCATTTTTATTTTTACTCTCCCGAAAACTTTGACTTTTGTAGGTTTGACGTCAAATTGGCTTCTACCTGTTTTATTGTACCATGGTCGTGCGCCGCAATTGTGTTTAATCTGACGGAATTCACTGCGGCAACTACCGTCGTCCGCTGTAATTTTGGGTAGAGCTTAAGTGTTCCAGTGAAAAGATACAAAAGAAAGCGAAGCATTTCCAACAGATTAAATGATCTAGTTATGGGCAGTGAACTCATTCATTGGTACAATTTATAGAAGAAAGAGAATAATAAAAAAATTATAGTTTAAAAAACTAAAACCTCGCTATTATAATTTCCATTCGTACTGTCAACAGGTATGTAACTTGATAATAGAAATCGCTGCATCTTTTAGGCGCATCAATATTACATAGTTACATCACGAGCTAATAAAAGGGAGGTAAAAAGACTTTGTCCGAAGAAGATTTGAAGGATGTTGAAGTTGTTGATCTATTTAAAGAAGAAAACGAATTTCTACCAACGATAAATAGGTGTATTTCTATTTTGAGCGCTTTTCCATGCACAACAGCGACCGTGTGCGATCTTTTAGTACACTTCGTAGTGTAAAAACCTGGCTCAGAAGCAAAACAGGAGAAGAAAGGCTTTCAGGATTATGCCTCATGAGCGTCCATAGAAATCTCGTTACCGAAAACTGCGAGATGGTTCAGAAGGAAATAATCGAAAGTTTGCTGAAAATTCGAGACGTTTGTTATTAGCGTAAAAATGATTATATAAAAATATATTAAAAAAATTAACAAGTATATTTCGTTTGCCCCCCCTTACATCAGATCTTGGCTACGCCCTTGTCTATAGCACCCCATTTTAAAGTTATATTGTTCGCCACCTATGGTTATTTATTTCATTTTAAGAATTGTCATTTAAATCACAGTTCATTCTCTAACAAAACCCATATACTTAAACCAAACTTTAAAACTTTGTAGAAACTTACAAAAAAATGCCAGAATTTTTTTGATTATACAATTTTATAGCCCATTCAATTTTAGTGTTGTTGATTTTTTAGATTTCTTTTGCCGAAGCAAATGTGAAAAAAATTCTAAAGAATCAACGGTAGTTTTTGGCCACTTGAAACTTGCACTGTGCATATCGAACAGCTGATTGCAGTTTACCAACTACCAGAAAAGTTTGTAAGCTTCCTTCACGATAATTCGGTAACCGGTACACCGATAATAAAATAATTTTACACAAACAAAATAGGTATATTGGGAAAATTACCGAACACCGAGTACCAAGCTCGCTGTGAAGACCCCTACTTTAAAACTGGATCAAAAGCTTCAAAAACTTCAAACCAGTGGAGTTCAACTATTTAAAAGCAGTTGTGTTTTACATTATAATTTTAAATTGTCGTAAGCAATTGCAAATCCACTTTTATTAACCCGTATGCAATGTGCGTTCCATTTGGTTTCGTAATGTGTGGTCATATTTATTCGGCCGTATGTAAAAAAAAAAATACTATAAACAAAATATTGACGATTTTTTAGCCGAAATGACGATTTTTTTAGGGGAAAGTGACGATTTTAAAGCGAAAGCTTTCGGCAACGCTGCTTGTAATTTATCACACTAAAGTTGAATAGGCTATAAAACTGTATACTCAAACAAAAAAATTCGAATACATCTAAAAAAAAAGTTTGAAATTTGGGTGAAAATTTGTGGAATTTTTTTAGTTTTTTTCAAGGGTTTTTTACACAATGATCTGTATTTTAATTGAAAATTCTGAAAAATAAATAAAATAACATAAGTATAATAGGGTGCAATAGATATCAACGATACTGTATATTGCAAGGAAAGAGAATTTACCTGCTTGAACGTTGAGTTTTTCCGACTTTAAATTATATATATAAAAAGTCTCGAAAAATATCTTAACTAGTCCCGAAATGGTCCTGAACAAGCTCCGTCCTTTAAGACTTAAAACTAGTATAATTACAAAGGCTCAATATAATATTTATAGATGACTTAAACAATTTTTCTCTCTCATAATTACGAGTATTATAAAAGGACTTTTATGTACATATAATTCTTAAAAAAAAATTTGATGAAATTTTTAAAACTACACCGTGAAATAATTATTATTCTGGGTCGCTTGTTTTATTTATTAAGCTTAACCCATTATGAAAATAACCTGAACATTAAAAAGCTTTCGATCTTAACTGTTCTTTCTACATCACTTTCTTTCTGTTCTACCTTTTCAGGAATCGTACCTGTGACTTAACAAATTTTACATAGAAAATATATGCACAATCGAATAACTTAACAAATCTCAGAATAAGTGTTTCCCATTACTTCGTCCTGCAATGGACGGCTTTAACGTTCCAATGTTGTCCGATAATGGCTATAGTAGTAACAGTAGCAACAACACACCACAAACACATACACATCATCACAAAGATCAAATGCTTAGTGCTGGCAGTGCCCCAGCCACGCCATTCATATACGACCACCCCGCCAGCCATAAAGGAATCAACCAAGTGTCGGGCAGTTTGAAGTCCACCAACGATTATGCCACCTTCACCAATTGCATTCAACAATCCGCGTTGCTCGATCACCGTACAGTCGATGCTAATATCGATGGTGTTTCGCTCAGCAGCCTATGTGACCTGAAATTTCCCAGTTCACCTTCGGGTGATAGTAATTTTAAGAATATTTCACTTATAAATATCGAGGCTAATCAGGTGCTAGTGCCAGCGAAAGGTATCGCTGCAAGCGATTTGATTACCGATGGCGTCGGCAATGGCATTGAGCCGACTTTTTCAAATATTTTATATGCCAAGGACGACGTTATCATAGAAACGAAGGATATGCGCGCCGACTGCGACGCAGCTCAGGTGACACACGTGACGCACTACTTACCCCTGAAAGCCATCAATGATGCTGAGACGAGATTTCCAAAGGCCACAGTCACGGTCACGGCTGCTGCTGCTGCTGCACCAACGGTGACTACGCTGAATGCCAGTGCAATGGCTGGGGTGCAGACGGTGAGTACAAAGTCGAGTGCTGGGGATGGTGGCGGCAGAAACAACAACAACAACACCAGTGGTCGCATGAAGCGGGGAAATGCTGGTAGTAGAAATGGGCGCACAGCTGCAAATCGCCAACGACAACAGCAGCAACAGCAGCAGCAGCTGTTACAACAACAACAGCAGCAGCAGCTACAAATACAGCCAGCGGAAGCTATTACTCACACTGTAACAACGGCAGGGCGTGGCGACTACTTGTCAGCTAGTAGTCTTAACGTTTTCGTAACGGATAACCAGGCGTTAAGTGATTTCCACAAAAGTTCAGCTGATAATCGAATCACAACAACAACGTCCACAATAATAACCACTGCCACTGCCAGCAGTAAGAGCATCACAACAAATGCCAATAATAATTTCATTGCCAGCAATCATAGCCAGATTGCCAGCGGTAGCTGCAACAACGCCGCCAACACCACCAATACCAATAGCACTAATAATAACAGCAATAACAACTGCAACAAAAACAATGTACAAAATATGAACAGTATTGCAACAATGGGGCATAATCGGGCAACAGTTTTGCAGCCTGTTGTCGATGAGACGAAAACGTTGGGCTCACCCACCCAGCAGCAGCCAGGGCTGCAACAACAGCCACAACAGCCACGGCGGCCTGCTGCAGTAATCGTATCCACCTTGTCGAAAGGCAGCTGCATTAGCAAAAGCAATAGTGTCAACATAAATATCAATCATGCCAACAACAATAACAATGTAAGTGGCAACAATAGCACAATGTCACCGATTTCTATAGATGCTGCCACAGAGCCAGAGATACAACAGTCACCACAGCAGCAGCAGCAGCACCAGCAGCAGCAGCAACAGCGGCAACAACAGTTGCAACAAATGCATTCAGCAAATGTTAGCACAGAATGTGATTCACTATCGTCCATGGATATGAGCGATGGTAGTTTTGGTGAGTATTTTTTGTTTTAACAAAAATGTATGCATTTTCTTCTTGTGTTGTTGGAATATATTTATTTAGAGTTGGCAATATTCTGTTGGTGTTTAGTGATTTTTCAGGTTAATAAAAAAAAAAAACCAAACGAACATAAGGATTGAAAAAAATCGCGATACTTCGTCAAAGTGTTAAAAACAATTAAAAAAAAAAATATTCTCAAATTAAAGAAAAATAAATACATAAATATATAAAATAACTTTCCATAAAAAACTTAATTTTTTAGATGAACTAAATAAGAAAAAATTATAAATGGAGTGTGATTATTCGAGAGCTTAAAAATTCCGAAATTTATCGCGACATAGAAAGAATCATTGTGCTCCACCATCAATAAATGTGCTCCAAAGTGCTTAGTCAAGCTTAACAACGGAAACGAAGTTTTTAAAATTATGCCATATATTTAAAATTTGGCATAAAATACGACAACTACTAGATAAAACAACCAAACAAGGGTCAGGGTTGAACTTTAACTTAATTTGTTTTTCATATTTTTGCATAAGGCTTTAAAGTAAGAACTGCGCATCGATTTTTGTTAACTGAAAAATTCATAAATTTTTGGTTGTTACTGAACATAGATTTTTAGTAACTTAAAAGCTGGGCATAAATATATATGGCAACACGAAAACTGGACATAAATCTTTGTGAATTTAGAAGTTGGACATAAGTAAATTTTTGGTTAGTTAAAACTGTAAATTTTTTTTTTGTAATGTGGAAACTGCACTTTAAAAATTAGTTACTTAAAATTGGACATTATTTTTCGTAATTCAAAACTAAGGTATACAAATATGGGCATTTAAACGTTGACAAATTTTTTATTAATTTATAAACTGATCATCAATTTTTAGTAACTTAAAAGCGGGGCATAAATATATGGTAACATAAAAACTGAATATATATGTTGGGGTATTTAAAAGCTAGACGTAAAATTCTTGGTTAGTTAAAATTGGAAATATTGTTTTTTTTTTGTTAATGTAGAAATTGGAGTTAAATATTTGGTTACTTAAAAACTTGACATAATTTTTCGTAATTTTAAATTATGGGCGTTTAAAAGTTGATACCTTTTTTTGTTAATCTAAATACTGAACATATAAAAAACAGCAAATAAATTTTTGTCATGAAAAAACTGAACATTCATTTGGGGTAACTGCTGAACATCAATCAATCAAGGTCTGACTACTACAGTATAGGGTGACAATAAATAATATGAACTAAAGTTTTTGTTTCATAAACTTTTTAAACGGAAACTATTCATAAAAAAAACTGTAAATAACTGGTTTCAAGGTGGCCATCCTTGGTGAAGATACAGAAGTCTAAACGTGATTAAAAATTTCGACTATGGGCATAGGTTTTATGGAGACAATTTTTACCATTCTCGAAGCTGCGATTGCTTCAGTGCTTCCAAACTTTTGGTGGCGCTTAGCACATGCTCTGGCCTCAAAAATCAACCACACACTGTAGTCCATTGGGTTAAGCTCCGGCGAGTAGGGCGGTCATTCCGCATACGAGCTGGAGTCTGCGTCATTCTCGCTTTGTTCAAACGTCCATTCCAAATCGCCTGCTGTCGTCCTGCTGTGCGCACGGACTCGAGAACGTCGCGGCGATACACCCCCCGATTGTTCTTGCCTTGATCCACGAAAACCAGGGGAGTCCGCTGCTGGCGCAAATTATGCCCAGACCATAACTGACTGCGGATTTGGAGGCATTCGACAATTGCTGAGGTACCAGGAGTCTCTATGGACCAGCTCCTGCCGTTTCAATGGTTGTGCGCTTGTTCTCGTCGGTAAAGAGAATGTGCTCCCATCGATGATTTGCAGGTTCGACGCTTAAGTGTTCGACATCTTTGTACTCTCACATGCTTGCTTTTGTCCGTGAGGAACTAAACTTTTTGGAGCTTGTACGCCGTGAGGTTTAGGTCCTTCTTAGTTACTTGCCGCACCGATTTAAGGTTGATCCGGGTCTCACGAGCGATTTTTCTCATGGATACCCTCGAATTTCGTTGAACTCGCTTTGGAAGCATTGAAGGGGCGCTATGTCCTTTTCTGTAACGGTCATTGAACCGTCGAACTGCGACTGACACTGTCATTTTTGCAACACCAAGCAAGCGAACAATTTCACATTTCAGTCCAGCTTTTTATCAGGGATTATGCCAAGGTACCTAGCAGATTCGCTTAGGTTATGCGTCACTGTTTTAAACTAAAATATACCGAAAATTTTTAAGCTCCAGCAATTTTGTAACTAAATTTTCTTTTTACCAGTACATTCTTTCACAATCACAGCACCTTTGCATGCCAGCCAACGCTTTAAATATTTAACCCAGTTTCTAGTACTCTAAAGCCCTTTATCCTTGAAATGCTTTAAAATCTGACCTTTCCTCAGCGTGAAAGAGAGAAAAGCCTTTAAGTCAGCTTTTTCCAACGCGAAAAACAAAACTAGTAGAAAATAACAAATTTGCTTGCTAGACAAGGTTGCCGTTTCTGCCAGTGATCGGACTTCTACCACATTGTGGTAGATCTGCCACTTTTTTGAGCATCTACCACATGTACCACACAAGGTCTGCAATCTACCACATATTCGCGTTTTTGAGTAGCTTTATTTTTGCTCGACATAAACGTGGGTTTATTGTGTTAAATTGCAAAATATATGATTTATAAAAAGAATTAATAGCGAAAATGATAAAAACTGGCGATTTTTGTGAAAGTATTAGCAAATTTCAGTGCATCTAAAGTTTCTAAAGCGTGGTTTACTTTTTCTTGAGATTTGTCAAAATCGGCAAATCCCAAGTAGCGGTTTCTGGAACGAGCCACATTTATTCGCTACATCGTGATGTGATAAAAAGAAAAGCTGGCAGCACTCCGCAAGGTTGCAAAAAATGTATGTTCGAAAATTATCTTGATATGGAAGGAACCGCTTTAGACTGCCAAGGAAAAAAATTGCCAAAACTCAACGCAATTTTTAGCAACTTCAATCTTGCACTTTATTATACTAAAATTAATTTTGTTTTAGATTCAAATTAAAATGTTTGCAATTTAGGTGAAATCTTGCAGATTTTTTTGAATTTTTGTACAAAGTTTGATCCAAAACCTGATATCGACCACATTGTTTTGAAATCTACCACAATTTTTTCCAGATTCTACCACACACATTTGTCTTGAAGTCCGATCACTGGTTGCTGTTGCTGCTGCCGCCGGTGCAGTTGTGCGCCGCTGCGTATTATGTTTTGGTTTCAAATTCTATGCATTTATCCAATAATAATAGACGTCGCACATATTGAGGACCTTGCAAACGATGCACTTGTAAAAATTGTTATGCTTGCTGCAATAACAACAGCAACAGCAACAACAACCACAAAAACAACATGCAATTAATGGTGTGTTGGCCCAATTCAACTTGGGTGGTGGCCTTGCTGTGGCTATTTGATTTGTTAGCGTTGACATTGACCCATTTCCAGGTGTCGCCAGCGACGGCGACGAGTGAGTGAGGTGAATGAATAGGTGTGCGTGTGTCTGTTTGCGGCGACGCGCGAAAAGTGTGTCAATGTCAGACGGCGGCGGCGAAGGCATTAAATGCAACTTAGCAATGCAATGCAGTGGCGGAGGCAGCGACTGCAGTAGTTGTGCATGCGAAAGCGAAAGCTAGTTGGCTGGCTGGCTGGCTGGCAAGCTAAGCCGCCCGACTGTTAGGCGTGAAGCCGAGTCGCAGCGCTCATTCTTCTGCTTGCATTTGAAATTTTTTGCTGCTGCCAGCTGCTTGCTTGCATGTCTAAAAGTTTAGTCTGATGAATGTGCATTTATATGTACAGTATGCATGTATTTACGTGCATAAATGTGTATGACGCCGTAGTGCTGTGTGCGCGCATACATATGTATATAAATACCGACCAAATGACCTCCGTTGCAATGCATCCTTGTATTCAATCTCCAATATTAGAAGCGCCGCACTGCACTTGACCTAAATTGAAAGCGTCATGTTCCAATTACGATTCTGAATGAGCGTGCGAGTGTAACAGCAACAGTAACAGTGTGTGCAAGTGCAAGTGCAAGCGCTAGTGAGCGGTGTTGACGTGCAACAATGCGGTTGCACTAAAAATGAAAAATTATATCTACTAACAAATCAGCGGTTGACGCGCGCCGCCGTAATAGTTAGAACAACAACCGAAATAGTCACGCCGAGTTGTACATTGAGTAGACAGCGCGCGCTTGATACGCGACAGTAGCGCGCGCGCGGAAGGCGAGCGGTCTCTAGGCGACCTTGTGCCATTTTTGTTAAAATACAACGAATGCGTGCTAAGGATAAATATGCATAGTATGTAAGTATGTGCAGTGCCGCGTCGCGCCGCGCGTCTGTCTGAGCGTTAGCGTCAGCAGTGGCAGTGGCAGTGACAGTGGCAATGATAGTTGCAGCGGCATTAGAGAAAAACTAACGAAAACAAAAAAAAAATAATTGCAATTGCGGTCGGCCGCCACACTCAGTCGCAGCGTGACAACACACAACAGCCTACTTGCATAGATATGCAACTTATGTGCATGCCGCTTGCGACGTTGACCCTGAATAACTAGCAACGCCAACTTGTGTCTTGTGCTTTTTTTTTTTGTTGTCGCTGCTGCACTCTCCATCTTGACGCTGCCTAGTTCTTATCACTTTTGAAGTGTGTCGAAGGTTCAAATGCTACAAACTGTATTACTTTAGTTATTTTCTATTCTAGATGTGTATTTTTCCCCCTACATGTATGTAATACGAGCTAGCTGCCGTAACTCTAGCTATTGCTGGATTTGTTTATGTTGATGGCGGCGCGCGGCTGAGGCTGTAAAGAGCGCGCACATGGTGTATGTTAAATGCTCCATGTACCACTAATTGATATTTGCAACATTCAACGCACATACATACACACTGACTCGTTAACTCACTCAAGAGCATACGCACTAAACCACATCAGCCGCACAATGCCACAGCGCGGCATAGACATACTATAATCACAATTGATGACATTGATGGATGTCACAGTGGCTGCACAGCGCACAAACGTACATATTGATGAGACTTGTTGTGTGTGTATTGGGGCGCATAGTTTGTGGTGTGGGAGGAAATTATTCAATTCTTTTATGCAATGTCCATTTGTTGGCCTTGGAAGTGAGATGCTTGCTGCTGAAATAGTTGTAATGAGTTTTAACCTTCTCAGGACTAAAAGCCTATAATAAAAAAGTCTATGATTTGAATTGTAAAATGTGATTCATCGAGGACTAAATAAACAATAATATACTAAAACTCTGATATACTAAAAACGAATTCAATTAAAAAAAAAAATTTTGTTGGAAAATAATTTTTTCCAAAACAGTTGTTTCAAACAATTTTATAAAGGTTTTTCCACACAATAAATAATTTCTTCTCCTAAAAAACTTTTTTCCATGCATTCAAGTAATTTTTTTCTTTAATTTTGTTTCCTTCAAAAATTATTTTTTGCCTCATTGTTTTCGAAAAAATTTATATTTCCCCCCAAAATGATTTTTTACCAAATAAAAGCAGTTTCATTAAAATTTTTTATCCTATAAAATTAGTTTTTGTTATTTTTACTAACAAAAATAACTTTTCACGAAAAATATAATTCCAAAAATATTTGTTTCTAATATTGTTGTTATTGTGACATTATATTTTTTATTTCAAAAGTGTTATTGGTTTTTATACAACGATTTGAATTTTCCATTTTCATAAAAAACAAGTCGTGGTATACAGCTCAGCAACGCTGTTGTTTCTAATGCGGTAAATTTTTTTCCTATATTATGTTTTTTTACAAATATTTTTTATTAAAAGAAGATTTCTAAAATAGATAGTTTTTTTAGATTCGAATTAAAAAAAAATCTGAAATAAATAGTTTTTTACATTCTAGTTAAAAAAAACTTCTTTTTGTTGAGATATGTTTTCTTTGGTCCTGAAAGAAGATGAAAAATTTACCAGTCAACAAAATTATGAAAAAGACTTTTTAATATTCCGATATTTGTGATGGTCTGAATTGATAGGACTTCGGCGCTCAAATTTGCATTGCTTTTTTGTATAGCATAGCTAGAGTTTAGGGCCTTTTGATTCGGCTTCTCTTAAGAGCCTAACAATAAGTTTTCGAATCTTAATTTAATCATTTAACTTACATACCATACTTGTGATGAGCCGTTTCTATGCAAGTCATTCCTACGGAATATTGGGCTTCTGCCGGAGTGTCCAGTTTGGGCGATTCAGCTCCAAATGGGCGATTGTTTTTTTTGGATTCTTGCGCGTAAAATTTTATTTTGGGCGATTTTTTCCCGTCAAATCAATTTTTTGTGTGGATTGTGGCTCTTAGTTTATTTCGGCTCGTACTTCTGGGATTCCCAAGTTGTGGTGGACATTCTCGATTCGGATATACGGTGTTCCGGTGATTGTTCGAAGGATTTTGGGTTGCGCACGACGTAGGATTTCGATGCCGCTACTGCTCGCGTTGCCCCGTAAGTCACTGGCGACTGTATGTTCAGTTTGGTTTTAGAACTGTATTCTATATAATCAATTTATACTCGAGACTCACGAGTGAGCGAGAACTAATAAGCCAACCTTCAACTTGAGATGAGTCCTTTGGCTAGAGGCCAAGTAAGTCGCCTGTCCTGGTGGACTCATAGGTAAGTGATATGATTGCTTTGTTTTAAGTCAAATGCGGCCAGTTGCTCTTGTTAAGCTTAAATTTAACTTGCTTACATATTTGCTCGTTGACCTTTATTCGCCAGTTTGCAAGCCAATCGGCCCGTCTTTATGATTACCTAAGAACTCAGTCGCTTGCAGGGGACACTTGGAGCAGTTGATTACTGCAATGTCAGCGGCAAAATGGAACACTGTCGGCTGGTCGTTTGTGAAAATATCCGAGGTGTATAAAACATACAGCCGCGGCGGTGAGGCAAGTGTTCCATTTGTGAGGCCATTTCGTGAAGTCCGCGCTTATTCAATGAATCTTACCGAAAAAGAAGGGATAGTACTGATGAAAATCAGGTATAGAAAAACATACAGATCTCGTACTATTACGAATTTTAATATACCACGGCCAGAAACGCGTCCGCTATGCCTACAACGCCCATTATCTGTTCGTTTAAGTTGCTGCCTAGTATTTCTAAATTCAATGGAAGTAACTTAGAAACGCTTTGCAATTAATTGTTAGACATCCTTTTTCAAAAAACACAAAGAATTTTCCTATTATTTAATTACCGTTTTTTTTTGCGTTAAGACCATCATACAAACGTATAGTTGTACATAAGTATTTATGATTTTCTAAAACGCGTCTTTGCACTTTTGCACTTTTGCGCTTGCCCCACTTGGCTACTCAAACTACTGTACATAGGTGATGTGTGTTGCAATTAATAATTACTTTTTCAACTAAACAATTAAATAGCAGAAAAAATAAGTATGTAGTACGAGTATGTCTAGCCTAATCAGAGGTATGACATAGTTAGCGGCAACATCTGGTGGCCAGCTTAAAGCTTACGAATATTTGTTTGCTTTTTTTGACTTTTTACAAATTTTAACACTTTTTACACTTTTCGGTTGAGAGCAGTTTTGATCGCGAAAAGTTAACTAAACGTTAATTTTTTTATTACTTCAGTGGTCGAGAATGGACTAATTTTTGTGTGAAATTCGGAGTTCGCTAGAGAGGACTTGAGTTTACAGGGAATGACGAAAATGCAGCATATCTACATATGCATTTGTTATTAAAAAAATATATATAAAAAAACAAAAAATTAAGAATTAATAGATATCGAAGGAATTTCAATATTAACTGATTTAGGTTTGTCAAAATAATTTTTTTATGAAAATGTGTACAATAAGAAGAGTTTAAATTAAATTTTGAAATTAATGAAACTTTTCAAAATTTGTATTTTGTAGAGTTACCACACGTTCTCGAAAGAAACACGTTTGAAAAATGATTATTAGCAGAGTTACAGTAAATATTTGAGACTATCCAATATCTACTTTGATACGCACGCTGCAGCTAACTTATAAAACCGCTAGCTAAATGGATTTTAACACTTTCATTGGATTTGTTCATTATATTGGACACATTAGAAAATAATTTTTACTTACGATTTGCAGCGTATTTTTTTTAAATCTCAATTGTTGCCATGAAAAGACGTTGCAGCAGGACGAGAGATGTTTGACGTCAAACTCAGTTGAATTTTCAGTTTTTTGTCGAAAAAATATAATTTCGTCTAGTTTTTATCTTTTTAAGGTCTAAATGAAAGGAATATTACGTTAAAAATAATTGTTAGAATTTAGAAACTTGAAAATTGATTTCCGTACTATTTATATATACATACGTATTAGGGTGATCCTCAAAGTGTCAACATCTAAATTTCGTATG